AAGACTGCGTTAAATAACGAAGCTGCACATCATTTTATCTTTAAAAATCTTATTAAGTTTGAAGCACATGGTTCTTCCTCTTCATAAATTCCTATTTTGTGCTTCTTTAAAAATGATCGGCTTCTATAATAAAATACTTATGTTGATATTATTGTTGTCTATATTATTATCAACGAGTTTAAGTCATGTGTATCCTTAGTAATATTGAAAATTTTGCTAACATCCTTTTGCTCAATCTTACTTAGAATATGAGACTTAGTCATTAAAATATTTTGTTGGATTCTAAAGGAAAAGATGTCAACTTGAAAGCTTTATTACTCTTGAAGTCAGTATGGAGAACCAAGATGTATATCAAGTTAGACATTCTAATTTTCTCATCACTTAAACTCTAATTACAACTACATTTTTGAAAGGCCTATTCTTAAAATTTTAAATCTAATGGTGTCTATTTGGGCAAATTATTACATCCGGTCATCGGACGTGCAGAATAGGTTCGGACATTCAATAAAAACATGTCACGTCACATGCGCTTTTGACTGCGCTTTAGGTGCGCTTTGACTGCACTTTACTTGCGCTTTTGATTACGCTTTTGACTGCGTTTTATCTGCGCTTTATCTGCGCTTTTGACGCGCTTAATTTAAAATAATATTTTATTAATATCCGGACCTATCTCCGCGTCCGGTGACTGGATGTAATAATTTGCCGTCTATTTGACACTAAATTATGAAGTTTCCATCTTGAAATAGTGTGTTCACCATGCCCCTACTACTCTTATTCTTATCACCAAGATTCATTAAGGAAATTAGTCCCTATAATTCATGTTTGTATGATTAGATTTTTCATTAAGGCTACTCTAGAGAAATAAAAAAAACTTAGTGAGCCTCACTTAAGCTCATATAGAGCTTCTTAAACTCAAATTGAGACCATTTTTCAACTTTAATCTTCTTTATTTGTATTTAATCTCGACCACACTGCATGACCTAATAATTTATTATTTCCCTTAGTTGAGCTCCTTTATATGAGCATTTTGAGCCCATGAACACATGACTTACTGAAGGGACAATATATTATATCATTATTTAAAATTTAGGCTCTTATAATATGATTGAAAGGAAAAAAAATGATATGTTTTCAATTATATCTAATGTGTTATTGATATATAATAGAGATTATAATCTTCATTCTTTTTATAAAATTATAACATCATCCTTGATCCTTATTGAAAACACATGCTATAGCGGGTCTTGCAATATCCCAATAGTTGGCGACATTGCATAAGATTTATCTCATTCAATAGCTAAAATTTCTAAGCCTAAGGATTTTAAATCATTTCAAAGGTTTTACTACAATAACAATAACAACAACATCAAGCCTTTGTCCCACTACGTGGGGTTAGCTTCATGAATCCTTTTCTTCACTGTGTCATGTTAAAAGTCAAATTCTCGTTTAAATCTAATAAAAAAAAGATTATTTTTGATATTTTCTAACCAAGCCTATTTAGGTCTACCTCTACCTATAAAATTAACATATAAAATATATAATTAAAAAATAAAATTAAAGTTGATCAATTTTTTGGATTGAAATGTATTTCTAAAAAAAAAAAATATTAAACCTATTTAAGACTTTATTAAAATTCATCTTGAAAATTATTCTAACTCTAAAAGACAAAGTGTTTATTACATCCCTCGCATTGCTAATTAAAAACTTCATCCTTCCTTTTGAAAACTCTCAACTATGTTAAATAATAAATACTTTCTTCACCATAGAGTACTTGGAGCACTTGCGCACTTCCTAACATTTTCTCAAAGATTAATTATCCTCACAACTTTTATTTGCCAAAGAAGAATTTGTACCACATTTCAAACAATATGACGCTCTTTATCATTTGTAATTATAAATCAACATATTTTCTTCTTGAGGGATCACTATAATACATGTTTTCTCTTGGCATAGCTCCTTTATGTGAGCATTTTAACCCTAAGAGCACATTTATTTACTGAAGGGATGAGAGAGAATGAGCTCTCTGAAGTTTCAAAGCTTACAAACTTATTCAAATGCAGGAAAAAGGATATGCTTGCAATATATCCAATGCGTTATTAATGGATGATAGAGATTTTGGTTTCGTTTGGAATGATTTTTTATATCCCGCCCTGCCCGCATCCGTCGCGCACCCGAGTCCGCCGGTCGCCCCGCATCCGCCCACCTGCTCGTCCCGTGTCGGGTCTGGTCAACCCGACAATCCGACGGGACGGGTCCGGATCCGTGTTTTCGACCATATTGAACCTGGGTCAGTTCCGGGTCCGGATCGAATTGAATGCATCTCATTACCATCATAGTTCACTTTAAAGCAGTGTGGGACCGAAAATTTGGCATGCTCATCATACAATAAAGTTAAAAACTTTATCGAATTGCAACCAAACTTTATACAACGATTGGGCTCACCTGAGGGAATAGGTTGCTATTATTAACAATTCTTGGCCAGAGTTTAGAGATTATTAATTAGTTTTTAAATAATTTTTAAAAGCAAGGTACTATTTTGATAAAATAAAAAATATATATAATAAATTTATAATTTATTATGCATATCATAAATAGAATGCTATATTTTTCTATGGCACATTTGACTCTTATATTGGGGAAAGTGATTTAGCTTTCATTTGAGACGGATTTATTACTATTTTTTAAAACAACTTTTTAATAAAAAATTTCTAGTTTAGTAAATTTTTTGTATTAAAATACATTAAAAATGCTGTCAGAAATGAGTGGATAACTTTCTTACTATTTTATAAAGCTCACTTTTAATGCAAATATTTATTGAACAAAAATTTTTTATACTATAAAATTGCTTTAAGAAAGTTGTTGTAAACGAAATTTTAGACTTCATTTGGGACGACTTTTTTATTTTTAATTTTTGTAAAAAAAGCCGCTTTAAGAAGTAATAAAAAGTCGCCCCAATGCTTCGTTTGGGACGGCTTTTCTATTGCTTCTTAAATCTGTTTTTTAGTACAAAAATTAAAATATTTGTGGCGATGAAACTTCCTACTCTAATATATTTTAATTAATATTTGTGTTGCCAGTAGTTCTTTATTTGAGATATTTGGATCAAATTGCAACACCATTATGAACATTTTGATCTATGCTTAAGCTAGATTCAATCGCGAATGGGGGAAATTGGAGCTTGCCTGTCATCCTGATTGCCTTCAACTACAACTGACGCTATAACCTCATTAAAAGTCTTATTATTACTAGATGAAAACAAATTAAAAATCATGTCCTCATGACGTTGAAAATCTATTTAATCAACGGAGGTTGACGATGGATATGTGGTGCATTCGATTTGAATTTCTCATGCTGTTTAGGTTACTTTTGATAGTAGTTTTATTAGAGTTTTGAAATTATTGTCCAGCAATTTTAGGATTGTCTTTATTCTTGCTTTGTGTTCAATAACGTACTAACCTGAAAATTATTCTGTGAGGAGACCGGACGTACCGGATTTGCTACGCTTTAGCTGCTTTTTTGCTACACTTTTGCAAATATTCAGCAAATATGCACTTATGAATGCATATTCGATGTCCTTTTGTTGAGTATTTGCAAAAGAGCAACAAATGAGTAGCAAATATTCAATTAGTATGATATTTGATGCGCTTTAGTTGTCCATTTGTGTGTTTTTGTAAATACTCAACAAAAGAGAAGTAAAAGCTAGTGCATTTATAATTGTATATTTGATGACTTTTTGTTGAATATTTGCAAAAGCGCAACAAAATGACAGCTAAAAGGACAACAAATCCAGACGGTTCTCATCGTCTGGTCTCCGCACATAATAATTTCTCATTGTTTATGGGCTAGCCCATCACAAGTTATATTTTTAGAAGATTTGGAGCTTTTGTCGCAGTGACAAAGAAGAAAAAATTTTGTTTCATGATCACCTGATCATTTTATTTGTGGTTTTGTAGGCTTTCAACAATGAAGAAACATGCTCAACCAAATAGTGAGATGACTTTTTCCACTTAAACTATTTTGGAGGGCCCTTCAGTGCCCATCGATTCCAATTTCTAAGCATATCTCTACACATTTTTTTGTTGTTCTTTATCTTATTCACTTTCACTTGTCCCTTTGTCCACGACAATATGGCTCACCACAGAAAAATAGCTTATTACCAGCGGAGAACCAGCAGAAAAATGGCTCATTACCGTCGGAATCTCCGCCGGTTCTTGCGCCATTTTTTCCAGCGTACTTACTTCCGCCGGAAGCTCCAACGATAATCGAAGGTTCTCCTGTACTGGCTGACTTATATTTTTGAGCTACATTCTCAAATATAGTAATCTAAGATAGCCATTTTTTTGATCCTTACATATAATTTTAACTTCATATTAAAAAAAGGGGGTTTTACATACATACAACTTTATTTCATGTTATTTACATATCTAACACCTAAAACATTAATATTACATGACTACCACCAATAGAATAAATATATGAGTGGTAGGCATGTAATATTAATGTTTTGAGTGTTAGATATGTAAATAATATGAAATAAAGTGGTATGTATGTAAATTTCTCTAAAAAAAATAATTAGATACCCCGAAGGTCAACTTCAAGGTCACCTACAAATTATAATGGCCAATCTTTGACAATACTAAAAAAGAGATTTATAAGATCTTCTCATACAAATTTCTATAGGAAATTCCTTAAAAGATAGCATTCCTCAATATGCATAAGATTTTAATCCTTCTGTGGGCAGGAGTCCGCCCACAGAGCCAAACCCCTCAATCCCTTTTTCAAATCGGCGCCCCCACCACTTCCTTTACTTCCCCACACATTCTTCTCTTTGTCTCCCTCCTCCAAATGTTGTTCATTCCAGCTACCAAATTTCATATACGAAAGGACAGATTCATCATTAATTGATAATACTGTCAAATAAACGAAATATAAATATGAACTCATTCTACACAAACTTTCATATATTTTTGCCCCCATTCTCTCTCTCTCTCTCTCTCTCGATGAATCCCTTACAAAAACAAACTCCAACAAAAGAAGATGAAGGAGGAGGAAAAGAAGAAAAGCTTCAAGCAGAAGAAATGAAAGCTAAGGAAGCAAACAATATTAGTTGCCAGAACAATCTTGAGCTGAGACTTGGCGTTTCCTCGAGCAACAGTAGTAGCAGCATCTTCAAAGAGAGATTAATGGACTTTTCAGCTTGTTCTGATATTGGGTTGCTTATGACCCATCTTATAAGAATACATGACCCGAAGAGTATGCATGGGCTGGAGCCCTGGCTGTTCGCTGACCCACCCACTAGGTTCATTGACCCGTGGAGCCTCGCAGCTAGGCAGCAGAAGGCAGTTCTTGAGCAAGCCCATAGGAAGACGACTAATCCTTCTGCTACTACTGCTCCTTCTCAAGATCTTGCGAGGTAAGTGATGATACATATATATATATCATTACTTCTCCTTATCTTCTGAGGTTCTTCTTCTGAAGGAAGCAGAATTAATTAACAGAAGGAATTTGTTGATCTTATTTTGTTACTGATCATTTACATGCGCAAATGCTATATATGATTCAGTTACTAATATTTGGTGTTATATATTTATATATAATAGTGGAGAGGATATTTC